GGAAATTGGAGAATTTGGGGACACCTGGGCACACCTGGGCACACCTAGGGGCAGTGAAATGGGGAAAAAACGGTGAAAATTTGGGAAAAATTGGTGAAAATTGGAGAATTTGGGGACACCTGGGCACACCTGGGCACACCGGGGACGGGTGTGACACACCTGGGCACAGTGAAATGGGGAAAAAACAGTGAAAATTGGGGGAAATCAGTGAAAATTTGGCTAAAATGGGTGAAAATTGGGGGGAAATGGGTGAAAATGGGGGAATTTGGGCACACCTGGGCACGCCTGGGCACACCTGGGCACACCTGGGAATGGGGCAAGGGGGGAAAACCAGTGAAAATTGGGGGGAAATCGGTGAAAATTTGAGGGAAATCGGTGAAAATTGGAGAATTTGGGCACACCTGGGCACACCTGGGCACAGCTGGGATGGGTGTGACACACCTGGGCACACCTGGGGGCAGTGAAATGGGGAAAAAACAATGAAAATTAGGGTGAAAATTGAAGAATTTGGGGACACCTGGGCACACCTGGGCACACCTGGGCACGCAGGTGACACAGGTGTGTCCCTCCCGCAGGAACAGGACGCTGCTGGTGGCCATCGTGTTCCAGGTGTGCATCGGCTGCTTCCTCTGCTACTGCCCCGGCATGCCCAACGTCTTCAACTTCATGCCCATCAGGTGAGCCCGCACCTGGGCACACCTGGGCACACCTGGGCGCACCTGGGGGCACCTGGGCACACCTGGGCACACCTGGGAACCCCCTGGGCACACCTGGGAACCCTGTGAACACACCTGGGCAGCCCCAACACACCTGGGCACACCTGAACACACCTGAGCACACCTGGGAACCCTGAAAATCGCCTGGGCCCACCTGGGTGTCCCACCTGGCCAGGTTCCTGTGGTGGTGGGGCACACCTGGGGCACACCTGGGGCACACCTGGGCACACCTGTGTGTCTCACCTGTCTCACCTGTCTCACCTGGCAGGTTCCAGTGGTGGTTGGTGCCGATGCCCTTCGGGCTCCTCATCCTCGTCTACGACGAGATCCGGAAACTCGGAGTGCGGAGACACCCGGGCAGTGAGTGACACACCTGGGGGCACCTGGGGGCACCTGGGGGCACCTGGGGAACACCTGGGGGCACCTGGGGAACACCTGGGCACACCTGGGGGCACCTGGGGGCACCTGGGCACACCTGGGGGTACCTGGGGGCACCTGGGCACACCTGGGCACACCTGGGGGCACCTGGGGGCACCTGGGGAACACCTGGGCACACCTGGGCACCCCTAAACCTCACCTGGGCACACCTGGGCACACCTGGGGGTACCTGAGGGTACTTGGGCACACCTGGGCACAGCTGGGGCACGCCCAGCACACCTGGGCACTGCCCCACCCTCACCTGTCCGGGTTCTCTCCCCCCTCCCCCCCCAGGTTGGTGGGATCGGGAGCTTTACTACTGAGAGGCACACCTGGGCACAGCTGGGCACAGCTGGGCACACCTGGGCACAGCTGGGCACACCTGGGCTCACCTGGGCACACCCGGGACCCCCCCGGACACCTGGGCACACCTGAGACTCACCTGGGACCCTCCTTGGACACCTGGAACTCACCTGGGACCCTCCCTGAACACCTGGGCACACCTGAGACCCCCCGTGGACCCTCCCTGACCACCTGGGGCTCACCTGGGACCCCCCTGAGACACACCCGGATCTCACCTGGATACCTGGAACCCACCTGGAACCCACCTGAGACCCACCTGGGATACCTGGGACCCCCCTTGGACCCTCCCTGAACACCTGAGACCCACCTGGGATTACCTGGAACCCACCTGGAGCCCACCTTGAACACCTGGATCTCACCTGAGACCCACCTGGGACCTTCCTTTGATACCTGGAACCCACCTGAGACCCGCTGTGAACACCTGGAACCCACCTGGGATACCTGGAACCCACCTGGAACCCCCCTGTGAACACCTGAGACCCACCTGGGACCCTCCCTGGACACCTGGAACCCACCTGGGACCCACCTGGGATACCTGGGACCCTCCTTTGATACCTGAGACACACCTGGGACCCACCTGGGATACCTGAAATCCACCTGGAACCCACCTGGGACCCTCCCTGGACACCTGGGACCCACCTGGGACCCCCCTGAACACCTGGGACCCACCTGGGACCCCCCCGGGAATACCTGGGACCCACCTGGGACCCTCCCTGAACACCTGGAGCCTACCTGAGACCCACCTGGATCTCACCTGAGACCCACTTTGAACACCTGGGACCATCCTTGGATGCCCCCCTTGACACCTGGAACTCACCTGGGCCCCACCTGGGACACCTGAAATCCACCTGGAACCCACCTGGGACCCCCCCTGAACACCTGGGACCCACCTGAGATTACCTGGAACCCACCTAGAACCCACCTGGGATACCTGAAATCCACCTGGAACCCACCTGGGACCCACCTGGGACCCCCCTGTGAACACCTGGAGCCCACCTTGAACACCTGGATCTCACCTGAGATCCCCCTTGGACACCTGGGACCACCCTTGGACCCCCCCCGGACACCTGGGACCCACCTGGGCCCCTCCCCGCCCACCTGGACTCGTTCCCCTCCCCCACCCCCCATGTACCCCCCCAATAAAGGCGCAGGTGACTCGGGCAGGTGCGTCCAGGTGCGTTTATTGCTCGGGGGGGGAGGGAGGGAGCACACCTGGGCCACGCCCACCGCACACCTGGCCACGCCCACTGCACACCTGGCAGCCATTCACACACCTGGGAGAGACTCACATACCTGGGAGCCATTCACACACCTGGGAGCCATTCATACACCTGGGCCACGCCCACTGCACATCTGGGCCACGCCCACTGCACACCTGGGAGCGACTCACACACCTGAGCCACGCCCACTGCACACCTGGGAGCCATTCACACACCTGGGCCACACCATCCAGGTGTATCTCAGGTGTGCCCAGGTGTGCCCAGGTGTGTCCATTGTCCATCCAGGTGTGTCAATGTCCATCCATGTGTCTCCAGGTGTATCTCAGGTGTATCTCAGGTGTGTCAATGTCCATCCAGGTGTCTCCAGGTGTAT